ATAGCACAAAATAGCTATTAATATTAGGATCAGCAAACATAGCAAACATTTTCCCACCAAGTCTCACTTAATTTTAACCTTCCTCTGAGATATTATCAGGAACCCTGGTGGTACAGTGAGTTAAAAGAGTTGGACCACTACTTGAAAGATCCTTGTCTGAAGCTACCAGGTGCTCCACTGGAAAACAATGCAGCAGTCTTCTCCTATAAAGATTTACAGTCCCAGAGGCCTTCCAGGGCAAGATTTTGGGGTGTATTCCAGTCACTTAAGTAGTTTGAACCCACCCGCTGCTGCAGAGGAGATAGATGAGACAGTCTGCTCCCATTACAATTTTATAGCCTTAGAGACCTTACGATGTGGTTCTGTTTTGTCCTACAGAGTACCTCTGAGTCAGAATCCACATAGGGGATCCACTGAGGCTGTGATTTAGGGGAGGTTTGAGTATTAAGTGTCTAATTTAACCGATGAGGAAAATGAAGCTCAGAGAGATTAAGTGACTTGACCAAAGTCCAAAACTAGTAAATGCCAGGATCTCACGACATCTTTTGACTAAAGCTCATGATTATATTATACTACAGCTCTTGTGTTGGAGACAGTGCGATTGGCACAGGACAGAGCGGAGTTTAGGGCTGTTGTACATAGGGTCGCTATGAGTCGCAGGCGACTCGACGGGACATAACAACAACAACAACAACAACAAGAACAGCTCTTGTATGGAGCTTAGGTAGATCGATGGTAAAGTGTTGCATTGCCAACCTCAAAGCATGTAGTTTGAATCCATCAAGCCATTCAGTGGTAGAAAGACGAGCATTCTCCTTCCATATGTTTGACAGTCGCTGAAAACCCATTGGAGAGTTAGCTCTGAGTCTGTTCTGACTCAACAGCACATAACAACAACAACATAGTTCTTGCACAGTTATTTGCTAGTTCTTCCTTTTTTTTTTTTAAGGAGAAAACATTTAATTAACCAACCTCCATGTAATTAACACGGGCTCAAGCCACCAGGACACAGGGCCCCCCAACCCCCTTAATCTTCTCCTCAGCTCTTCTGCTGAAGAATTTGGCCTTTACAATGACTGGTTGCTTTGGGAGCTTTCCCTTCCCCAAGACTTTGTAGTAACCCGATTGAACCACATCAATGATAAGAGCAGCTCCAGTCTTGTTTTTTGCAGCATTTATCCTTGTCTGCTCACTGACGAAAGTCCATAATTTGTCAAGGTTAACAGTTGGGCGGAAGCTCTGATTCCCCTTCAGGTGGTAATGTCTCATACCAACCTTCCCAAAATAACCTGGATGGTATTTGTCAAAGTTGATCCTGTGGTGATGCAAACCACCAGCATTACCTCGGCCTCCAGGGTGCTTCCACTGCTTCCCGATGCAACGGTGGCCGTGGCTCACATGGCCCCGAAGTTTGCGGGTCTTCCTCAGTCTTGACGGCATTTCATTCGCTTACACGAAAAAAAGTGCTAGTTCTTTCTAAACTGTAGCAGGTCAAGCAATTAAAAACGTAACGGTTTCATCTATGTCCAGTGTATTTAGAGACATGCTATTTTGCGCCTCCCTCTAGCTCTCTTAGCCTAGTTAGTGGTAAGAAGCTGTGCTGCAATGTCAAAGACACGTAGTTTGAAACCACCGCCTCCTCCGTGGAAAGATGGGCAATCTCCTCCCGTGTGATTTACTGTCTCTAAAACATACGGGACCCCATCAGCAATGGGTCGGTTCAGACTCAAAGGCACACACCAACAACCACCAGAACACCGACACTAAGTACACTGGATATTTTCATTGAAGTACGACTGATTTGGCTAATTAATATTAAGTTTAATATCAAATGATTATGTGGAAGTTTCAAAAATCTTAAGATAGAAAGGGAATATCTATCCACTCAGAGAAATGAAGATGAGATTTAAAACTTTTCATTTTTTTAAATACATTTTTTATTTTATACTGGTTTGCTTATAAAGTTCGTTTACATGGCTTTTCACACTGGATCTTTCCCATTTTCTTTACCCGCCCCTCCCTCCAACCATCAAATTGTGGGGCCCTCTGATTAGTCCCTCCGCTCCTCCCATCCTCATCCCTCTGCTCCTCCTCTTCCCCCTTGGTTCCTCATACACATCTTACTAATTATCCTATTTCTATGACAATGGTCTTATACAGTGTTTGTCCTTATGGAAACTGAGTTAGTCCTCTTTGCATAATGCTCTCCAATCCCTTCCAAGTTAGGTAGTGATTTTCAAAATCATTGCTCCTGCATGCTGCATAGTATTCCATCGTGTGAATGTATCATAATTTCTCAATCCATTCGATTGTGGTTGGACATGTGAGCTGTTTCCATGTTCTTGCAATGGTGAATAATGCTGCTGTGAACAATGACGTACAAATGTCCACTTGTGCCTCAGTTCTTATTTTCTCAGGGTATATTTAAAGCAGTGGAATAGCTGAGCACACAGACCAAATGGAACAGAATTAAGAATCTAGAAATGGACCCATCTATCTATGGTCAACTGATAATCAACAAGGAAATAAAACCTATCAAAGGGATAAATCACAACTTCCAACAAATGGTGCTGGCAAAACTGGAAAAAGCTGAAACAAGATCCACATCTCACACCATACACAAAAATCAACTCAAGGTGGATCAGAGACCTGGGAGTAAAGTCCAAAACCATAGAGGTCATGAGAGACAAATTGGGATCAAGTCTGGACGGCCTAGTTCTATGGCATAAAGAGATTGCCAAATACAGCCAGAAATGCATAATCTAGAGAGGATAAAATTGATGAATGTGACCTTCTAAAGATTAAATCGCTGTGTGCATCAAAAAACATCTTCCAACAGAATGAAAAGAAAACCTAGTGACTGGAAAAGAAACATCTGGCAACACCATTTCAGACAAGGTTTTAGTATCAAAAGTTTACAGAATCCTATAGGGCCTCCACAATAAAGAGACTGATAACACAGTTGCAAAACAGGCAAAAGACAAGGAAAGAATTTTCATAGAGGAAGATATTCAGATGGCCTGCAGACACATGAAGAAATGCTCCAAATCATTGGCAATAAGAGAAATACAAATAGAAACCACAATGAGATACTATCTCACTCCAGTAGCAGTGGCAAAGAGGATGTTGTTGTTACGTGCATTCGAGTCCTTTGCGACTCATAGTGACCCTATGTACAACAGCCCTAAACCCTGCTCTATCCTGTGCCAGTCGCCCTGTCTCCAACACACCAATCCCGATTACCCCAGTCACTGAATCAATCCACCTCATAGAGGGTCTTCCCCTCTTGTGTCGTCCCTCCACCCTCCCAAGCATGATGTCCCTCTCCAAGGACCTGTCCCTCCTTGCAACATGCCCAAAGTATGTCAGACGAAGCCCCAGCATCCTTGCCTCCAAGGAGTTGCTTGGTTTAATCCTCTCCAGGATGAATCTGTTTGTTTTCTTGGCAGTCCATGGTACATTCAATACTCTTCTCCAGCATCACAGCTCAAAGGCATCAATTCTCCTCCCATCCTCCCTAGTCATTGACAGCAAGTAATAAATGTTGGAGAGGATGTGGAGAGATAGGAAGTCTTATACACTGTGGGTGGGACTGTAAAATGTTACATCCACTCTGGAAGGCAGTTTGGCATTCTCTCAAAAAGCTAAACTTTTCATTTTTAAGACACTCACTGTCCTCATTCATTATCTTCTTCTTCACCTACCTTTAACTACCACCTCCCTGTGGCATTGACACATGACAGCTATTTCTTTAGCCCAGTACTCCTGCCTCCACTGTAGAGAACAATGGTGTCAGTGTATTCACAGTAGGCTGTGCAAAATTTACAGTATTTCAAATTCAAATAAAGAAATGTGTGAGACAAGCATGTAAACCATTTTGGCATGGAGAAGCCACAGGCCAAGAGTAGCTTGCAAGTCTTATCTTGTTTCTTTAATCAATAATTTCACCATTTCTGCATGCAGAACCCACAGGCCAAACATAGCCTGCAATCGTATCTTGTTCTCTAATCATTAATTTCACCAAAGAGGAAGTAATTGCTAATGGCAGAAGCAACCCTTTGCAAGAAAAAAGGAAAAGGACATAATTTCCTTTATGTATATAACCATTTTTAACACTGGAAGGAAAATGTGAACTACCCTCTTGCCTGTGAATCTAGAAGTGCTTGATAAGGACTGATTTGGGGACCATACTTGAGTACCATGAGCTGATGCGAGTTTTCTCTTTTTCTTGATTCTGATTTCCAAACTTAAAAGTCACTGCTCAGCTAGACTGTCCCAGTTTCAAACTTAAAACTCACTGCTCATCTAGACTGTCCCAGCCTTACTTGTTGTTCTAATTCCAACCCTAGGCTCTCTCCTCACCTCACCTTTCCTTTCTCATCCCAGACTAATTTCTTTTCTTCCCTAAGACAACTAAATACTACCTCAAACCTGCCCTTTTGTTGGTCCGCCTCTTTCTACACCCTCACAAACCCAAGTTCCAGGTCCTTTCTTATCTTTCCCTCTCCGGACTTGGAAGTCTCCTCAACCTCTGACGGGTTCGTGACTCGTTCCACGCCCATCTCTCTACATCACCTCCTGTCACACTTCTGAACTCGTGGCCCTAGCAAACCCTTTATTGTTGTTGTGTACCAAAGAGTCGGAACCGACTCAGAGCTGATCCTCCAACAGGTTTTCAGAGGCAGAACATCGCATTGGATGGAACTGTCCACCTTTCTTCCAAGGAGAAGCTGTTGGATTCGAACCGACTGCCTTCCAATTGGCAGGGAGTTCCTTACTATTAGGCTATCAAACTCAAGGTCCATCAAAAGAACTCCTCTCTCGGAGTTAAATACCTTCATCTCTCATACCCCTTTGCTTCCCAGATTCACCTGTTTTTCAGGCACAGCCTTCCGGGTCTGGTGCACACCTGGCCCCTTTGACCACGCCCCCGCAAGACCACCGCCTCCCTCTGGCCACGCCCCCTCGGTCGCAGCCCCTCGAAGCTGCACGCCTCGCACCTGGAGCCGGCTCGCCGCGCTGATCTGCGTCTGCTGGACGAAGGGGTTGGGCACAGGCGGCGGGAAGAAGGATGCCTGGCGGGGCACCATGGGCGGCCGCAGCCCCGCATCTCCGACTCCAGCGCCTGGCACTGTGGCCGCCACCGCTGCCGCCTCGGCGCATCGGTTCATGGCTGACGGAGAGATGGGCGCGGGCCACTGGAGCAGGATCCGCAGAGGAGTCAGCTTAACGCGAGTTCCAGCCCGAGGCGCCACTTCTGGGGCCGCTTTGCGCAGGCGCCAGAGTTACCTAGCTGCCAGGCCGGCCTGTCCCCGCCCCCTGTGTGAGGACCACGCCCCCTGCGCGAGGACCACGCCCTGTACTCCTGGCTGGCTGCCTGAAATACCTTTCAGGTATTTCACGACTCCTCCTTGGTAAAATATTGCTCTGCCCCCTTGGAAATAGATGTTTTTCCTTTAGATCCATAACCTAAATAATACCCCATTATTCCCATCACCCCAGTAAAGCTGTTTAGGGAGAGTTCACTAGGATAGATTTTTGGATTTTACTGACTTTGACCATGAGATGTAGTTGCCTCTTCTGTAAAAACAGGATGAACATAATTCAGAGACATAAATTATAGAATGTTTACGCAGAAAAGCCCTATAGATGTTTCTCAACAAATCGTACTTGCCACCTGCTTCCCCAGTGGGAGTGCTCTCCAATGCCCTGGAATTCACCATTCCCATATATATCCCTTTGTCACATGAAATTTAGAGCTTGTTGAGGTCTCTGTCTCTTTCCTCCTCTTGGATTTAGAGAGAGCCTTTGAGTGGCCAAAAGCCTCACAGAAACACACAGACTGCATCAAAGACCAGTGTCTGTGCCCTTCCTAGGACTTTACCACACTGCCTGCCATCTCAGCATTCACATGAATAGATATGGAAAGAGGATATGATCCTGATGCACACTTTTCCTAATTTTAAACCATGCAGTGTTTCCTTGCTCTGTTCACACAATAGCCTCCTGTTCTAGGTATAGGACACCTGAGCACAATTAAGTGTCCTGGGATTCCTATTCTTCTCAATGTTAGCAATAATTTGTTAGGATCCACACAATCAGATGCCTTTGAATAAAGCACAAACAGAGATTCTTCTGGTATTCTTTGCTTTCAGGCAGGATCCATCTGGCATTAGCAGTGATATCCCTGGCATCATAGCCTCTTCTAAATCCTACTTGAACTTCTGGCAGTTCCCTGCCTATGTACTGTGCCAGCCAATTTTAATGATCTTCAGCAGTATTTTGCTTGCATGGGATATTATCGTATTGTTCGATGATTTCCACATTCTATTGGATCACTGTTTTGGGGAATGGGAACAAATATGGATGTCTTCCAGTCAATTAGCCAGGCAATTGTTCTCCACCATAATAGATGGAGGAAAAATTGAAACTGTCAAGGCCTTCATCTTCCTTGGATCCACAATCAAGACACTTGGTTCCAGCTGTCAGGAGATCAGGAGACAAATTGCACTGGGAAATTCTGTAGTCAGGGACCTCTCCAAAGTGTTGAGGAGCAATGATATCAGTTTGAGACCTAAGGTGCACCTGATTCAGGCCATGGTCTTTTTCATCACTTGCTATATATCTGAGAGCCAGACAATGACAAATAATAGTACCTTTTAACTGTGGTGTTGGTATCCCGTGGACTGCTAAAAGGACAAACATATTTGCCTCAGAGAAGCTGCAGCCAGAGTGTTGCTTGGAGGCAAAGATAATCAAATTCTGTCTCACATACTTTGACATGTTGCTAAGAGAGGTTATTCCCTGGAGAGGGACATCATGCTTGAAAAGGTGGAGGGACGGTGAAGGAGAGGAAGACCCTCAACCATGTGAACTAACACAGTGACCACAGCGATGGGCTTGAGTGTTTCAGAGATTGTGAGGATGGTACAGGATAGGACAAGGTTCAGACGTGTTGTTCATAGGGTCGCTATGAGTTGTACTCGACTTGATGGCATCTACCAACAACTGCCTGCAATCTTTACCACTTATTCCCCAGTGGTCCCAACAACTGGAGAGCATATTAAGAATGCAACCAGATGACACAGAGTCAACTTGAACTCTTTGTGGTCTCATGAGTCAAAGAAGAAGTGTGCTCCATAGGGTTTCAAGTGACTGATCATCAGGCTTTCTTTCCTGAGGTGCCTCTGGGTAGATTCCAACCATGGATGTTAGTCCTTTTCAAACTGAAGCCCCTCTGTGGTTTTACTCCCCCGTTACGGAAACTAAATACATATATACATACATACATACATACGTACATAAAAATGAAGGATCCTATAAAGTAAACACACAGGCCTGACAAGAGCCTCAAAGAGCTCACCATCATTTCTCAGTTGATCAGGCCTAAAGCAAAATTTGGTTGGCCTTTGAAGAAATCTCTCAATAGATTGGTACTAAAACTCTGATACAAAATACTATTCTATTAAATTGTTGTTGTTAGGTGATTCTTAGAGACCCTGTGAACAAAAGCTCTGAACCCTGTTGTATCCTGTGCCTTCCTCCCCAACACTGAGACTCTTAAACAGTTAGTCGCTGTGTTAACCCATCTCTCTCACTAATGCTCTTCTTTTTTTACGCTGACTCTTCATGTTTCCAAATGTAGTGTTCTTCTCCAAAAACTGACCCCTTCTTACAACATATCCAAAGTGTGTAAGACAGAGTTTCACTATCATTTGCCTCCAAGGAGCACTCTGGTTTCATTTTCTCTAGGACAGAGCTGGTTGTTCTCTTGCCAGTCCGTGGGATATTCTGTACTCTTTTCCACCACAATAGTTCAAAGGCAAACACAATTCTTCTGTCATCTTTAGTCATTATCCAGCTTTCAAAAGCATAGCAAGGAATGAAAAAGATGTCCAGGTGCCTGTTAGACTTTAAACGGATATCATTGCTCTTCAGCACTTTGAGATGTTCTTCAGTCCTTAAGCACTCTGTAGAGGTCCCTGACAGCAGATTTTCCCAATGGAATTCATCTTTAATTTCTTGACTACTGGTACCAAGGATGTTGATTGTGGATCCAAGCATGATGAAGTCTTTGACATCTTCAGTCTTTTCTCCGTCTATCATGTTGCTCGTTGACCTAGTGATGAGAATTTATATTTTTTGTGTGTCAGGCTATAGTCTTTGCAATTACGTGCTATGCATCAGATAGTTGGACAGTGAATAGGGATGACAGAGAATTGATATCTTTGAGTTGTGGTGCTGGAGAAGAGTGTTGAATATACCATGGACTGCTAGGAGAACAAACAGGTTTGTCCTGGAGAGGGTGAAGCCAGAATG